CTGGCTCCAAAGCCACGGCACATGGCCACGAGTTCCCCACTCCCACTGCAAACTTCAGGGCCGAGGATGGAGTAGAACAGGACAGCCATGCTGTGCCCAGGCAGAGTGAGACAGGAGAAAAATAAAGGCAGAGAAAAGAGAGACACAAGAGAGAATATCAAGGGTCTGGAGATCCTGCATTGGTCCTGACATGTGCATAGTCTGGAGCTGGAGTCAACAAAGAGAGTGAAAGAGAGAGAGGGGGGAAAGAGAGTGAGAGGGCCCCATCTGCTCCACCATGCTGAAGCTTCTCATGTACAGTAGATTTCTCATGTGCCTCTGTCATGCAGGCACAGCTAATCCTTTGAGCCCTTCTGCAGGGAATGAGTTGAGGGTGGAGACTGAGCTCAAGGCTCCAGGCAGAGCAGCAAGTTGGCTCAGGACGCTGCTGCTTGAGCCCTGCAGGAGCCTCTCTTCTGATCACAACCTTCCTGTGCCAGCAGTCAGAATTACTGACTAACGTGCTTTGGCCAGGTCCTGCACATTCCCAGCACAGCTTTTACACCAGCAGCAAGTGTGTGAAAGCTATTTAGCAAGTGTGCTGCAACTTCATACACACTCCAGAATGTTAAAAATGCACAAACTACCTGAGCAGGCCTTGCTGAAGCATCTCTCTTAGAAGCTTCCAGAGATGGCTCTTGGCTGGTGCTGCTTGTGTTCTGAGATGGAGCTGTTTTTCTGGAAGGATGGTGCAAGAGTTCAGGCAACAAGGTCTAAATGGTCAACAGCCATAAGTCTTTCCTTGCTGGTAAATCTGACCTTCAGTGTCATTACTCAAGAAAACAGCATGAAGATGAGTTGAGGCAGCTTTAGGCTGGATGTCAGCAAAACATTCTTGCCCCAAAGGGTGCTTGAGCCCTGGAATAGGCTCCCCAGGGCACTGGTCAGTGCAGCAAGGCTTCAAGAAGTGTTTCAACAACACTCTTGGGCATATGGTGTGATTCTTGCAGTGTCCTGTGCAGGGCCAGGAGTTGGCCATCAGTTGGATCCCAATGGGTCCCTGCTACCTCAGCGTACTCTAAGAATCTAGGCTTCATTTCCTAGGGCCTTCTTCTGAAAAGACTCTTATCCTTCCCCTAAAGACTGAACTTACCTGGAAAGTATCAACTTCAAATTCTCTCTGTCTACATCAGTATAGCCAGGCCAATTGTTCTGAATGCTTTCCAACAGATATTCCTTCAGACTGTAGGAATTATCCTTTAGATTCAGGTTGGCTACCTACAGGCAGACATTTAAGAGAACAACCATTCATGATGGGTGCTGTATGTAAACTAAAGCAATAGGATTGGTCCTCAACAATGATTTGTGAACACCCACTTTGAACTAAACAACATCTTTTGGTAGAGAGATGAATGATTCCCTTATTGCATGAGTTTTCATCTATATTAAAATTTCAACAAATAGAAACAACCACATAATTCTATTTCTATCTAGCAAGTGTTCCTTGGAAACCAACATGTAGTGCTACAAGACAGAACTGTGGTCAGGCCCAGAGTCCCTCTTCATGTGGCAGAGCCAGGGTTCATTCCAGCAAAGTGCTGCCATGAGAAGGCCATGCACATGCCTTGCTGTATTCCTTTGAAAAGCAGCGAGCTTCATATCTTCCTCAAGACAACTACCAAGTCTACTCAAAAAGGTAAAATGCAGTAGTAAAACCTCAAGATCACTAATATCAAAAGGGCTGGTTTAGGCTTCACCACTTCACACCTGCTCAGAGTTCCATAGAAAAGCCCACAGGAAAGTTTGACCCCTACAACACACTGAATACATGATCAACACATCACCACCATCTGTAAAAATTTACCCTTTTTTTCTCCTTGAAAACATGATAAATATTGCTGATTTGGGTCAGTGATTATGTCTGTCTGTCAACAGCTTAAAAAAATGTAAAAGTAACAAAGCTACTTTGAATTAGGAATTCCTGTCTTAAAATCAGAACTAAGGTTGTGTTTGAAGGGAAGCAAGAGGGTGTGTACCACATCTCAGCCAGCTCCGGCTGCCCATTTTACATTTATACAAAGGAAACTCCCACTTGCTCTGCTATCTGGAAAAGCCTGAGCAAGGCATTTGAGTGTGCAGTGCTCACACAGCCCTTTCAGAATGCAAACCAGTACCTTGAGGCAGTTCACACCTCCTACAGGACATTACCTCCAAAGCAATCTTAAACATTGCAGTGGAACAGGAGAAAATGTTTTCACCCTCTACCTTCTAAGGAGCTGAGCTGTGAAATTTTTCTAATCTATTTGAAATCTAAATGGGCTTCCTCACTTGAGATGGTAGAATATGGCTCTCATGAAATTGTCAATTTGTGTCTTCAGCAGGCAAAAACCCTGCCACTGCCCTGAGCAACCACAGCAACAAACTTCAGAATGTCAAGGAATGAAATTCTTCAATCAAGTTCTTAAAAAGTCCCTGTGGGATCAACTGAAACTGTGTCCATGCTGAATTTTCCTGCCTTGACTATGTTCCAAACAATTTTTCCTACCTAAAAAAGAAATATTCCTACTTGACATTTAGCCTAAGGGAACAGGGAATATTTAAAACAGAAGGACAAAACCACTGCATCTTTCCATGGGTGTGCATCTTCTAACTGTTTATCCTAATGAAATAGCAGTAGAAGATAGAGCAGCACTGGAGAAGGCACTGAATAACATTGTTCCAAGCAAGATGAAGACTCAATCTACATGACAGGAAAGAAACCCTGTGCTCAAATTTAGGCTACCACCTTTATCATGGAGCTTTTGCCTGGAACACCTTTTCCTGGCAGGCAATCCTCACAGATCCCAGCAGAAGCCAAGTACCATTGAGAGGTCACCAACTCTGTTAAAAGGAAATGCTGCCCTGTGCACTTTCCAAACGTCTCTCCTCTCAAACTTATCCTAGGAAATTTTAGGTACCACTACAAACCATTTCACAAAATCAAGGAACCCCTGTCAAGTTACTGCATGAAACAGTCAAGTACCATTGAGAGGTCACCAGCTCTGTTAAAAGGAAATGCTGCCCTGTGCACTTTCCAAACGTCTCTCCTCTCAAACTTATCCTAGGAAATTTTAGGTACCACTACAAACCATTTCACACAATCAAGGAACCCCTGTGAAGCTACTGCATGAAACAGTTCAACAGTGCTAGGAAAAGAGAGAGGATTAAAAGAGGCATGAGCAGCAACAACCCTACAAAGTGTTACTCATTGCCAGCTATTCTAGCAAAACACCAAGACCTCAAATATTTTGAAGTTTTCTTTCCTTTTCCTCACATGGACTTGCAGCTTGAGGCATCTGGACTATGTTGATGGACAAACTGAACTTAGGTGTATGGAGCATTCTATAAGCCACTGCTTAGTTTCTAATTTCTAATTGAAAGAGGGTGAAAGAAACAAGTGAAAATGAGGAAGAAGAGAGTAGTACTGTGGAAAAATTGCTGTCACAAACTCCACAATCTCACCTGATGGAGGATCTTTCCAAGGGTACCCTTGTCCTTTTCCTTGATTCCATCTCTCTGCAAGCGAGCGAGTAACTCTGGCTTCTTGTAAGCCCTCAGAGCAAGTAAGTGAATCACCCTGTCCTTGTAGGGTCGGTGATAAACAGCAGTGCAAGGATTTTGTTCACTGTCTGCAGGCTTCATGGGCTTTGCTTTTTTTCCCTCTGGTTCAGGACATGAAGCGCTCGGTTCAGCTCTTTTGACATCTGCTTGTTTTCCCAAAGGAAAGGAAAAGAGATAAAGAAGTGTGAAATGGGAGGTTGGGAGAAGTCAAGAAACTTGATTTCAAAGGATGATGGAATTCTTGGGGACAGAGCTGGACTTAAATATCCATGTGGATCCCTTCCAACTCAGCCCATTCTCTGATTCTGTGACAAATCCCACTCCCTAACTGATACTGCATGGAGCATGCTGCAGAGGCACCCTGTAGCCTACCAGCAACCAGATCTGTCTCACCTGTGTTTCACATGCCAACCCAAAGCAAAAGTGGCCCCAAGTTCCATGATTGTCTCACCACTGCCAGTCCTCAGACCCCAGTCACTAAATGTTAAATATGCCCTTAGGATCTATGTAAAGCACCACCAAGAATCACACAAATCATCATTCACATGTGAAACGGAACATCCCCAATGAGAAATTGGCAAGGTGAATTTTGTCTCTCCAAAAAGCCAGGATGATGCTGCCATAAAATGCTCTAGACTGAGCTAAAGCAGGGCAAGAGCTGCCCTTCCAGTGGCAGGCATGTCCCTGCAGGCAGGGGACTGCAGCCACAGCCAGGTGAGAGCTCCTTTTTCTCAGGGCAGCTGGCTGTGCCTGGCTCAGCTCACTGCTGCAGGCAGCACCACGGAGTGCCTGCAATGGCAATGTCCACCTTGTGTGTGCCTGGAGCCAGGCTCCTTGGGGAAACAACACTCACAACAGATAAAAAACAAACGACACCACCTAAGCACATTGGAGTGTTTTCTTTGTGGGAAATGACAAAATCCATGGGGAAGATGACATCATGACTTTCCTTTCACTTGCCTTGAAAAGAACCCAAGAGGGTATTGTGGCAACAGTCACCTAATAATGACCAAGACAAAAAATGAAATCAAGCAAAGTTTTGCATATTGACCTGATGAAATTCTCTATGCAACTTCCTCAAAGTCATTTTCTTTCAATTTCCACTTAAGGTGAATGGTTTAGCCCAGTGTGCTTGCAGTGGTGCAACCCTTGACTTCAATGCTCAAAATTCCAAGCCGTCAATCAGCATGGGAACAAGGAAGAACGAGCAGGCTTCCTCAGGGGAAAACAGGCCAATGGCTGAATGCCATTGTGACAAGAGATTGCAAAGCTGACCTAAGAGCAAAGCACCCGCAGTTGAGATCTCTGAACACACCCCCTTGTCTCAAGAATATGCTGCAAAAATGAGTTACCATGTTTCAAGTCTTACAGACATGGAGCAAAATATGAAAAGCAACCATACCTCCAAGTGGGTTAGACAATTTGACAACCTGCGCACTTCCAGTGTGTGACGCCTCCCCGGTATTTGGCTAAAAGGAAAAAGAAATCTTCTGTAAAACGTTCAGCCCGCACTCCATTCCTGCTGACTAAGCAGGTCCCTAATTTTAAACAAGAGCTGAATTTGGAAAGGTTTGCTCTCCTATCAACTACAAAGGGCTGCTTTGACACCATTCTCCCTCTGAAAGCAGCCAGCTACAAAACTGCCCTGAGAGAGCAACCGTCACTTAGCCTCTAATGCAGCCAAGCATTCAAGTACCAAGTCATCCTTTCCCAGTTGCTGGAATTGATGGGCACCAGCTTCCCTTGAAATCAAGTGCCTGAGTGCAATTGAACTGGCCAGCGCTCAGCTAACAAACCTGGCAAGAGTGGTTCACAGAAAGATCACAAAGTTGGGGCAGGAACCCACACTGGGATTTATTTGGAACTTAGGAAACCCATTCTGGAGTCAGCTCCAAGAACAACTTCAACTGCAAAATATCAACTTCATTTGTAACAGGCAGGAAAACCCTTGTTCTTTTCCTCAACTCAAGATGCAATTATTTGCATAGATGTTAAAATGGAAACAGTTTATCCTAAGTTAGTCAGATGTGACAAAATTTGGCTTGCTTGGCTTGAACTCATCACTTAGTCCTGAATGTGCTGCTTAAAAATCACTAAAATGTCTTTTGGCATAATCATATTTTTTAACAAAAACACCTGACTGCCATGCAAGGGCTTCATTCTGAAGGCAAAACTGGCTGTCAGTGAAGCTAAAAAGCTGCTCATCTGAAATTGGCTTGAACTTTTCAAGAAATAGGAGGATCACTTGTAAATATCTGTGAAAGCAATATTCAGCAGTCTTTTAGAAATCCTTTTACATTTTGCTTGCGAGACTGTTCATCCTTCATCCATGTCACTTGCACAAAGTGCTGACTCAACACAATTCCATTTATATTTCTGTTTCATTCATCACTACTGGCAGAGCTTGGGACAGGGAGAGGACATGAAGGGGAACAGGGAGTCACCTGAACTTCACATCCTTTTACATCAGCTTAACAAAGGACTATGCTCTAAGAGCATCTGTGCATTTTATAGAAGAAGGGAAACCAATCATGTAAGTGACCAAAACGTAAGCCTGCATTACTTATGCAGTTGTTCATTGTTTGTTTAGCCTGCATTTTTTCCTACCTAATTATTTTAATTAACTTTGTAAGTAATTGTTTAATTAATCATAAGCAGTATATTAATCATAAGCACTGTATCAGTCTTAAGCACTGTCATTTCCCACTTTAGAGAGCAGGTAGCTAAGAACCTTTTGGCAGTCAACTGTCAGAACTGGATTGATAGATCACCAAAAGTTGTTGTTTTCCAAAATTAACTCTGATAAGCTTCAATGAACAAAGCTTGAGGTGTAAAAGGCTGGACACCTGGAATCTACGCTTCATAGCCCTCCAAGAACATGTTGGAGTAACCAGGAGACAAACACTAATAAAAACATTTCTGCCTCAGAGCTCAAAACAACTCATCTGGGAAAAAGTTAATCAACAGACTGAAAAATGTGGGCTAATTGAAATGAGAAAGGTGACACCAATATCCAAGCCAATACAATAGAAAAGTAGTTAATGAGAAGAATGATGTCATTTAGAAGCCATGAACAGTAATTTCTTGGTTTGATAAAAAGGTATGAATAAATCTTTGGAAGTGGCATGCATGTGGCAGAAGTTCTCCACTATGCACCAGAGCCAGGAATAAAGTAATGGCTACTCCTAATATCAAAAAAAATTCCTGTTCAAGGGCTTCATTTATCCTTACATTTTCAGTGATCCCATTAAAAACATGGGACAATGAGAAATCCATGCATTTGGACCAAAAGCCATGCCCAGAGCATGAGGTTACTGAATGTCACAGCATGGGGTACTTCCAGCTTCCACTGGTACCTCCTCCATGTCATCCTTGAGAGCCACTTCCATCAGGGAACCTGTGACTTCCACTGGCACCTCCTGGGTGTCATCCCTGTGAATCGCCTCCAGCGGGGCGGCTGCCTCAAAGGGGCCCTTGGAGCACCAGTGGGGCCCCAGCCCTGCACAGCAGGACCCGCAGGGTCAGCAGCCCCTGACACCAAAACCACGGCCAAGCCCCCACGGTGTCAACGCCCAGAGCCCGACAGCCACCCCTCACCTGTTGGTCCTGGGACCTCTGGGTCACCCTGACGGGCATGGCAGTGGTGCTGGGGGCCCTGCGGGGCGCAGTGTGGATTAGAGCCCTGTGGAACATGGTGGATCGTGCCCAGGCTCTCTGCTCGGCCATCCGGCTCTGCCTTGGCTGCTCCCGCTCCCACACAGCCACTGCTTCTGTCACAAAATCTGGGAAATGTAAACTTGATGTTAGGAAAAGGTGTTCTTTGCTCTTTGGCCTTTATGGCTTCCAAGGCTCATCAACAAGAAGGGAGATTATTTCCATGAAACAAAAAGTAGCCAACAAGCTCTAAGTGATGGCCAGGTGTTGGAAAGGCAAATTACTTCTTGGCTGAATTGCCTTTTGAAGGTGTAGGGCTTGACAGGCAAGAGTTATCTCCGACCTAGGGGAGCTTAGCAAGGCTTGGGAAGAAGTATGTACCACTGATGGTGGACACAAAGAATGCAGAATTTATGGGCACAAGGACATTTGACAGAACCCCCAAGACTAGGAGCCAACTACTAAAGCCAAAGCAGCAACTGTGCTGAATCTACTCCAGCGGCGTAAAAGGGAATTTCCGGCAGGGCAAACCATGGCCACTCACTCCAGAAAGCTCTCACTAAGAACAGAGAGACAGAACATGCAGACTAATTAGCATGAGAAGTGACAGGATCATAATCAAACAGTAGAGGAAATAGTGATTATGAGAAGAACTTGGTAACTTGGAGACAAAGAACACTAATTGCTTTAGTTGATAAATAGTATAAATACTAAAACATTCTGATTCTTGTCACGGTGGCTTTGTGGATTTATCACTGAGCCCCACTTTCTGCACAGAACTGTAAAGAATTACCTCCACTCAGTGCGTGGATTGGCCTCTTGATCACCTTGTGCTAGAACCAAGCAATTTGGAGCAACACTCCCTAGCACTGTGACACCCCCACTCTCGCTGCAGCCACGGAAGGGTCTGAGCGGGCCTGCTGTGTGCCGGTGACAATGGCCACGTGTCCTTGGAAACGGGGAGTTCCATGTTCCAGGCTGGGTGGGATGTCACTGAGGAGCGGGATGTGACACGCTCGGGGCAGAGGGAATTCCAAATGGGCAAATGTGGGGAATTCCCAGCCCTGTCCCGTGAATGACTCAGCTGGTTTCCAAGTGCAGAAAGGGGTGCTCCAACCATCCCAGTTGCTGCAGCTGTGCAAACCAGGGCTAACAGAGTGTTTCTGCACAAAAGTGTTGTACTTGGCTGTCTCCGAGGTGAAGGAGCAGCTTAACACCTCTAAGCAGGGCAGCAAGGTGCAGCCCTCCCAGCACTGGTCAGTCCTGCCATGGGCTGGTCAGTCTGTGAGCCTTTGAGCATGTACACGGTCACTCAAATATCATCTCCTTGACAAAAACCCCCAGAGCCTTCCTCATCCCAGCCTCCTAAAAGAAAGCAAGCCAGCAGCACGCCCAGGCGCCCACGTGCCCTGCAGGAGGAACTGACATGGAAGATCCTGCACTGACCCTGAACACAATTACAGGCTGAAAGGTGTGCTGACTACTGGTGCCCATTGAAGTTACTGACACATCTGGAAAATATTTTACACTGTGTTTATATTTGCATTTTCCCCATACACAAGCTTATTCCTGATTTAAACCATGCACCAAAACTCTTGTCTTGTCATTACAGGGGGAGGGAACAAAAGCATGTAATTGAAAATGTGTCCTGTATTACTTTCCAAAGCTCATTTCCCAAGAAATCTTGTCTTTCCTTTTTTTTTTGTGTGTTTTTCTACAAGACCATGTCCATATCTGTCCATGTCTGGTCTCCTGGCTTCCACACACACAAGGACAGGGTAGTTTGAGGTACAGAAAGGAAGAAAGCAAATTGTCAAACACCAGATCTAGAAAAGAACTGTGTCCTTTTTTGTGATTGACTGCATGGTGTTGATTATGGATCTCCAATTACAGACTATTGGAAAAGCCTTTGTATGAAACATCAAAGGAAATCAAGGAGGTGTTACACTGGACTCCTGAATGTCCAACAGGCTCTTCATATCTTAAATTTCATGACTTCTGCTCTGGGGTTACCAGAATTGACTGAGCTCTTGGCACTCTTCATACATGACTGCCTTCACCTTGCACAGTAGATCCATTTTTAGCTCAAAGACTAGAAATGCAGGAAAGAACCAGTGGAAAGGAGCATATTTCTCAAAAAAGAACTGAATAATGTACTTGAGGGATGGCCTGTGTGCATCAGAGTAGGAGGGCCCATGGTCCTGACTGATTGAATAGGTCTGAAAATTAGTGGGGAAATAAATGTCAGTTTCTGTCCTGCACCTGCTTGTGTCTGGTTTAGAGCAAAAAGGAGGTCACTGGTTATCCCTGAGCAGAATCTTAAAGTAACAGGCAGTACTCCTGGAACTAAAGACACCTTCTGCCGTGAACCCTACTACGTTCCTCAATCCTTCTACAAGGAATCAGGATCTCCAATCAAATACAGAAAGCTTTGGGAGTGTCCAGTTCCCTGCTAAAGTACCAATAATGCACTGCAAAGCTCACCAGTTCAGCCAAACACCAGCCAGCATCAGCAACTGAGTAGGAGACAAAACTGCTAGAGAGGTGGCAGAACAAAGCAATTTTTCCCTAAGTTGTGAACCTTTCCAAACCAGTCACAAAATACCATGATGCAGATAATCAATTGGCAAAAGCTTTTAATGCCTGATTGAATCCTGAAGGGTGGTGGGTAGCAAGAAACCAACAAGTTAGAGTGCCACAAGCAATGAGATAAATTGTAGTAGATAAACATAAAGAAACTCATTGGGGTATTGAAAGCATGGTAGACAATTTGAAAAGGCAGCTACTTAGCACTAGGCTGACCGGGATTGTGACAAGTATAGAGAGAAAATGTAAAATCTGCTTACAGAGCAATGCACAGTTTTACAGAAGACTGCCAGTAACTATCACAAAAAAGGGAAGTAGTGCAGGAGCTTAATGCCAAAGAGATTTTCTTGAGTTACCTCAACAAGAGGCATATAGCTATTTATTAGGTTTAGTAGACACATATTCTGCATGGCCAGAGGATTTTCCTTGCCACACCAACAAAGCTAGAGAAGTACTTCAAATAATAATACAAGAAATAATGCTCATGTTAGGGATCACATTTGGAATGCCATGAGATAGATTCCCATTTCATGCCTTAAACTGTATGAAATCCATGCAAAACATTCCCAGTTCAATGGGACCTACTTAGCTCATGAAGGTCATACCCCAGTGGCAAGGTTGAGAGACCAAATCAGAGTCTAAAAAGACAAAGGAGTAAAATTGGTCAGGAAAACTCACTGAAGTGACCACAAACACTTCCCCTTGCCCTTCTGAGAATCACAATTCAAATGACTTCTAAAGAAAAAGTGAGCCTATATGAAGTGCTCTATGGAAGACCTCACCAAATTGCAATCCTTTTTGGAGAAAGTAACATGATAGGAAATGAAAATTTAAGACCATGTCTTAAATTAAATTTAAGACCATTATCTCTGGGAAAAGTGCTCTTATCTTTGCACAGGTTTCTGGTTTGACCATCCCTGATGACTTTGGATGCTCAGGTTCATCTCATCAACCTGGAAGCTGTATTTATGTCAGAATGCAGAGCAACAAGGCACTTAAATAAAAGTGGAAAGGAGCATTTCAAGTCCTCCTAAGCATTGCAGCAGCAATAAAAGGGGAGGCGATCAGTGCATTGATACACCTACCCCAAGGGAAGCCAGCCCAAACACACAAGGAACCAGAAGCAAAAATAAAGTCAGCAGGGGATTTGATGCTTAAACTTGTAAAACATGAAATATTACCTCTTTTATGCTGTGTAGAATTATTTAGATCAATTGCCATCAAATGAAAGATAAATCATGAAGCGTAAGCTGAAAAGTAAAAAAAAACAAAACTACTGTATTTGAAAATCAAGCTTGTGGAAACCGTGAAGGTTACAAATTGCTGGATTTGTTACAACAATGCTGATGGATTTGATATCCAGCAATCTGGAATACCATCAATCCAATAGAGCAATTTAAGAATAGGAAAAGACTAAAAGTCTGCACTCTTGGTGGGACTGGCTTTCTTCATGACTACCAGAACTTTAAAGACTTAAAGAATGATTTATAACCCGTGTTGGAATTGTTGCAGTTTGAATTTTTTATTATGTACCAGTTCAGTGTATTGCAGCTTTCATGAGATGTTTTGCAAATATTTCTAATAAACATAATCATAGATAAGAAAAAGAGTTTTAGAAGTGAGACTTCCAAGATGAATCTTGACAGTCTGTAAGTGGGGAATTGTTGCAAACAGCTCAGGAGGTGGTTAGTGGAACACTAACTCTGAACTGAGAACTCTGAAACCACCCATGTCCCAAATCAAGCCAGAGCAAAGCAGTTTGTTCAGGAATATATTGTGCAGCTCAGATAAGTGAGGTGAAAAGGATTATGTGGATTATATGGAAAACCACAATGAAAGGTCAATGTCCAAAAGCTCAGCAACCACTCAGACTCTCTAAAGATCCCCAACTAGACCCTCAGAGACTAACTGTGCAGACTCAAGCAATTTTTGCATATTTAATGACTTCTGAGAAATAGAATGCATACATACTGCATACTCCATTGTGACCTCACGGCCGCTGTTGACTCTGTCACAATGCGCTCTGTCCTGGCACATGTATAAAAGAGCAGGGCGGCCACGCACACAGCACTCGTCCAAAACCATCATGCCGTGTCACGGTCGGAGAGGCCGCTGGAGCCGGAGCCGGAGCCGGAGCAGGAGCCGCAGGCGCTCCCGGCGCCAGG